TTCTTAGGTGTCAAAGCAATTTGTTGCAGGTTTTCCATGCTTATTTTTAACATTGTTACAAGGGTTCAGCTGGGTGATCTCCCTTTGCCTTAGCTAGGCACTAGAGAATTTTTGCACACATTCTGCCCTATCGACCATTGCCATCTTTTTTAAGTTAATATTTTCACCTTGGGTTATTCTACTATTTTCTTTCCATAGTATTAGCTTTTTAAGGTTGCATATCACCTACTTTGTTGGGTAAAATTAATATATATATATATAAACTCGGGCTTGGTAGTTTCTGGATTCTGTAATATATTTATAGGGCCATTTTAAGCCATCGGATGAAAATCATAAAATATTTCACTTATACTTTCTTGGTTATGGTACGTTTGTATTATAATGCTGCTATTATAAGTGACTTAATTGTCATTTTTGCTTTGATGCTTCTTCCATGGTTGACAGGGGTGGGGTAAGGAATTTATTCCAGATGGTGTGATATATATATATATATATATATATATATAGAAACTCGGGCTTGGTAGTTTCTGGATTCTGTAATATATTTATAGGGCCATTTTAAGCCATCGGATGAAAATCATAAAATATTTCACTTATACTTTCTTGGTTATGGTACGTTTGTATTATAATGCTGCTATTATGAGTGACTTAATTGTCATTTTTGCTTTGATGCTTCTTCCATGGTTCCTTCTTTCATTGATATTGTCAGAATATCATGTAAGAATTATTCCTACTGCTGCATCTCTGGTTTATATTTAATGTTAGCATTCGTGTTGTTTTTTCTCAATAATTCTTTCATCATTTGTCCTGTTATCTTTATTTCTAGTTTTCAAATGTTATGTTTATAACTTGCGTCATATTTGGCATCATGAACACAATTATTTAGTTTTTTTATTTTTTTCAGTAAGATTTCTTAGTATATTAAATAATCATTGACAGATTGTTTTATTTTACATTATCTAGTGATCATGAAATAGATTGTGATTGTCATTATTGAGTTTTGCCGAAATTAATACCCTTATTTAGGGTAAAACCACTGGTTATAATCATATGCTTAATGGTTATATCAAAATTTGGTTTTCTTGAAGTTCTTGTTTTTCTGAAGCTTTTTCAAAACTTTAAATTCATGCATCAAAATATTTTTGCACCTTAATTGCCCCTTTTCTCACCCCATCATTCCCGTGCTACTGCTTTTACTTTTTGTCTGATTGATTTAGTAGAACCATTACTAAGTTATGAATGTCAATTACTTTTGCTGGAAGGATGCAGGTTCTTTTACAAGTGAACGTCGCAGCTGGCAATATAAAGGATCCTGTGCTTGAGGTTCTTCAGTTTGAGAAGTACGGATCTTTAGTTCCTGACTCTGAGAATTTGAGTAATTTATATTCTTCAAGCCGTTATGATCCATACGGGGAACTTCTTAATTGGTTACTCCCTTTGAATCGTACTCTAGCCCCTCATTCATTATTACCTCCATTAGGGCAAGATCAAACAGTTGCTACTCACAGGTCAACGTCTTCCTATTCTGGTTCACAAATTTTCTCTTTTGGCCAGTTCCGAAGTTACTCCATGCCATCACTTCCGAAAGATAATAATGCACCTTCCATCTTTGCTACTCACAATTCAAAACCTTCTCTTGACCTTGAAGATTTAGATTGTTTCACGCCGGAGAAGTCAAAGAATCATGATATGGAAAATGAGGGTCTTTTTTCGTTTCGAGGTGTTTCTCTTGTGCCTGAACGGTTTTCTGTTCACTGTGGTTTTGAAGGTATATACTTACCTGGCCGGCGATGGCGTAGAAAGATTGAAATTGTTCAGCCATTAGAAATTCATAGTTTTGCTGCTTCATGCGCTACTGAGGATCTTCTGTGTGTTCAGATCAAGGTGCCATTTCAAATTTCTCAATGTAATATCAAAATATCTTTTCTCCATTGCTGCACTTTTTATATTCTTTGTTTTATTTATCATCTGTGAAGCGTGGTTGTATCAAAATATCTTCCTTATTTGTTTTGTACGCGCATCCGGCATGGCTCCGTGCATGTATGACACATTTAAAATTGTATTTGAAATATTCAAAATTAATGTTGGATATGGTTTTGATATGCCTCAAAATGACAGTGATGCACATGGGACTTGTGTAAGGCATGTTACAAGAAATATTTTTGCTGGTTTAATGATTTTTATTCTATTTTAGCATAACATCTTAAAACTCACATTTTAACTTCCATGCTATTCATTTTAATTCATTTAATCTCATCTCTTTGCATTAAGGTGCGAAAAGCCTTTATTCATTTGTTACCTCATTCCCATTTATGTTTGCAATTTTGTTAAGCTTGCTACGCCCCCACTCATTAGTGCTCTAACCCGCTACTATATTTCTTATACCACAAACACTTTCTAACTCGGTTGTGGCGCTTTCAAAGGGCTTTAATTTTACTTACTGACTCTTTGTCTCTATCCTTCTGTGCTCAGGTTTGCTTTTAACTTTTGTTATCCCTGGTCATAATTTAAAATGTATTGTTCTTGCTTTTTTTTTTAATTCCTCTCCAATTTTCTTCAATGTAAAGATTATTTTATTTTTAATTTTCCTCAAACATTTATATTTTGGATTTTTCTTAATTTTTTTCTCAAGAACAATGATTGAGAGTTTTACAATGGTATAAATCTTTGATATCTGGTGTTTAAATGGTTCATTTTATAATAATATTTTTTGAAGAAGATTTGTCTATAAAATACCCTGTCCTACTTCTTACAATTATGTTGTATTGCCTTATTCACTTCGTGTTGTATTTGTTTCTAGCCTTGTATGGATGTCCATGCTTCATTGAATTACTTGTTTTTTTTAATCAAATGTTCTCTAATTGATCACCAAACATGTGCTCGAGTCGATCTTGAAATATTAAAGCAGTTTTTCTTCATTCTTCAGAACATTTCACCAGCGCATTTGCCAGAGATAACTATATTTTTGGACGCAATAAATATTATATATGATGAGCCATCAAAGGGAAGTCCACCTTTTTATCTACCGCTTTCAAGCATTGAGACAGGAGGTGGTCACAATTTACCTAATCTTCCGCTCAGGTCATATTCCTTTGGCTTTTTTCTCATCTTATCAGCGAATATGTCTAGACTAATGAATATTACTATTAACAATTTAAACCTGTATGGCCTTCCTTTGTATATATGAAAAAATGACCGTTAAACCTCATATATATAACATGCCTTCTATTTAAATTTTCTTTACTAGACAGTACTTGGGCATTTAAAGATTGTTGACATTTCACCTTTTTTTCTGATTTCTTCCAATCTTTACTATCAGCTTGTGATGCTTTAGAGTGTTCATGTTTGGAATTCCTTCTTGCAAAACTGATGGATTAGCATTTGGTGTTATCATTTGCTATTTCAGCATGTGATGCATTTTTTACGTGTTAATATTTTTAATTTTACTAAAATACTTGTTACATCTACTATTAAGTGCAAGTTTGCAACACAATGCTGCTTATTATTTGAGAAAATTGATTTCCTTTGTTTATTTCTACCGCATAGTTGTATTGGATATTGCAGATAGTGTATGCGAACATTCTTTATTTTTGGCAATCCTTTATTGATATTATTCTGTGAAGGTGCTATGGGAACTTGAGAGATTTTGTAAATGCTCTTAATAACTATTGGAAAATTTTTTTACATTTAATGGTTATGGCCTTCCTTTGTATATATGAAAAAATGACCGTTAAACCTCATATATATAACATGCCTTCTATTTAAATTTTCTTTACCAGACAGTACTTGGGCATTTAAAGATTGTTGACATTTCACCTTTTTTTCTGATTTCTTCCAATCTTTACTATCAGCTTGTGATGCTTTAGAGTGTTCATGTTTGGAATTCCTTCTTGCAAAACTGATGGATTAGCATTTGGTGTTATCATTTGCTATTTCAGCATGTGATGCATTTTTTACGTGTTAATATTTTTAATTTTACTAAAATACTTGTTACATCTACTATTAAGTGCAAGTTTGCAACACAATGCTGCTTATTATTTGAGAAAATTGATTTCCTTTGTTTATTTCTACCGCATAGTTGTATTGGATATTGCAGATAGTGTATGCGAACATTCTTTATTTTTGGCAATCCTTTATTGATATTATTCTGTGAAGGTGCTATGGGAACTTGAGAGATTTTGTAAATGCTCTTAATAATTATCGGAAATTTTTTTCCATTTAATGGTTATCTATGTCTATAATGATTTTTTGAAAGTGCGCCTCTTGAAATAGCTTTTGTGCATATATCTCTATCTTTTGCGGCACTTGCATCAAATGTAGGCAGGCTTCTAGAGTAAATAATTAAATACCATAATTTTTTCGAATGTTTTTGAAGAATTGATGATTTTTTTTTGTTGATTTTATTTAAAATAACTTTTTTGAGTAACATAACGGTTTGCTGAGGATAATAGAAGTACTGAAGCAAGTAAACAATCTAACTATATCATTTACTTCAGTTTTTGTGGTGTATTCTTCCTCCATAGATCTTTTCATACGACTAGCTGCTTTTGAGTATTCAATTCATTTTTTTAATTTTTGTTTGCCTCTATTGAAAATACAGGAGAGGCGAGGAACATTCTTTTATCCTGAAACCGGTGATCAAATTAGATGGCAATTTTGATGGCCGTAGTAATGCACACCCTATGGTTTTACATGCGAAGGTAGGTACAACTGTATTGGGATCAACTTCAAAGGCAAGTTACATGAAGAAGATTTTACCAAGCACAGATCAATATGCAGTTTTAGTTTCCTGCCGTTGCAACTACAGTGGTAATAGTTGAGCACAATATAATCTTTAAAAATGATGAATATTTTTATAATAATTTCATTTAATGCCTCATCCAATCCCGTTCGTTTTGCTCACAGAATCAAAATTATTCTTCAAGCAGAGAACAAGTTGGCGTCCCCACATTGCCAAGGATCTCATTATCTCTGTAGTTTCAGAAATTTCACATCAGACGGTTGAATCAACTGGAGTACCGCAACTTCCGGTTCAGGTTTGCATTTCTTTTAGCTGATACTTTTTTTTTTAATGTTGAAGGCAGAAATTTTTTTTTTTGGCCTTTTGTTGACAATTTATTTTTTGGGCCATTATGAAGATATTTTTTGTCACGACCCGGCCCAAGAAGTTAGAATTAACTAAGATGGACAGTGAAAGACATGTCTAAACATTAACATTAATCCACCATAACATTTATATAAAAAGTAACCACTAAATCCACAATACTCATGTTAGCAATCCTCTCATAAGCACATAATGTTTTCCGGTCTGCTTCAGTAACATAACTAATACAGTAGGAGTGATATAACATAAAAAAAAAAAGAAAACCACTATCTATTATCCACAGGCTCTCTCCTCCCATAATAAATTTTATCTATTATCCACAGGCTCTCTCCTCCCATAATAAAACCCTTCCATTAAAAATGCAGATAAACAACAGTTTAAGTTCAAGCAACTTAGTGAATAATTACTATTTTATTATATGTTAAATATTATGCAAATGCTTAACATGATTTCTCAAATGAAGATGATGATCATTTTCTATTTCCTTTTTTTCTTAAATTTTGGAAGTCATACAAGGAAAAATGTCAAAACCTTTACCTTTTGTATGATAAAAATATGTCTTTACCATTTCCCTTATTTTTAATGTACCCGAATGAAATAGCACCCTTTGTTAGTACCATAAGGTGTAACTCCTGATATACGTATCATTAAAATTTTCATTTTGAATTATTTAATTCCTTTAAATCATTAATTTATTTAATTTTCCTTTGGTGCATAATAAAAAGCGAAAGAACTAAAATCATAAAATAATCATTTCTTTTTCATTTAGTTTCTTTCACTTGTAAAGATGATTTTATTGTTTACGAACAAGTGAAACATTTTCAAAATAAAAGAATTGAATTTAATGCAAAAAAAAATTAATTACTCACCTTAACCTTAAAAAGTGCTCTGTAAAAATTTATTCCTCCAATTTACTTTCTCTTATTATCACCTATATCAATTTAAAAATCCATATATAAAGATTTTATTTTCAAAATAATATAATTCATTAATTTAAATGTTTTTTCAATTAACTTTTGAATCATTAGCCCTTCCCAATTCTAATTACTAATTTAAATGTTTTTTCAATTAACTTTTGAATCATAAGCCCTTCCCAATTCTAAGGATTCCACTCATAAGATTTATTATTTACTTAGTGGCATTTAAAGAAAACAATTTATATAATTAGAAATATAAACCTTACCTTCACTTTCAATGTCGTTGATCCTTTATCAATCTCAAATCTAAATAGCTTCTATCCACAATTCATAATTCAATAAAATTTAATAACATTAATTTAAATAGTTATATCATTTATTCTAATAACAATATAAAACTTAACATTTTACTATATAAGCCCTCGAATCATTCTTCTCCCTTAACTCGCACTCTTTACCTTCTTCTTTCTGATTTTAATTAACCCTAACATCATATTAACACTTGATATGAGTTCAGTTTATTACAATTCAAAAACTTCTTAAAAATATAAACTTTACTCTTACCCTATGCTCGGTTCGGTTTTCTGCACGGCTTGGTAGATTTTTTTGCATGCAAAGCTCCTCTTCTCCCTTTTTTTCTGCACAAAAAGTCGCACACAACCTCCTCTCCTTCGTACAAGACATGAATGCAGCCCTTCTTCCCACACCCTAGGCCTCTAAACTAACTACAAAAGATTATTAGGTGCGGATAAAATAGGTGTGGAAGGTGCGGATTTTGTTATATTTTTGGTTATATTGATACAATCAATACAACCAAAATACAATGAAAACTGCATGTGCGGACTCAACACCTAATAATTGCTCCTAAAATACCCCGCTTCCCTCTTTCTCACCCGCGACATCGTCCCTTCTCCTGCAAGCGTCCGCACAGGATGGGGATGTTTCTAGCCGCAGACAAGTGCTCAATCTTTCTGCTCGTCTCGGCTAGGGTTAAACACTCAACCCTCCCTTCCTGCTCTTCTTTCGTCGCCCAGAACACGCTCGGACGACACCTTACATGAGCACCTGCTTCCTTTTCCTTTGCACAAGAATCTCACGAAGATTTCTTCTTCTTCGGCATCGACTAGGGTTGCACACACGAGGTACTCTTCCTTCAGTTTGGCTCAAAACAGCCCTAGGTCACACTTGCTCTGTGACTGCTCCGGGCTCTCTTCTCTATTCTATTGCATTAGCCTTCTTGGAATTGATTCACTCGTCTCTTAATGACAGAAAGACTAGATGGCTACATTTGAACTGATCTATTAATTAAAATTTATTTCTTTTTTTTATTTATTACAGTTATTACGGCTTAGTTTGATAATATGTTTCAGGTGTTAACCCTCCACGCTTCAAACTTAACTTCTGAAGATCTTAATCTTACTGTTCTGGCTCCATTATCAGCACCTTCTTCGCCATCTGTATTGCCCTTGAGCTCCACACCAAGAAACCCTATGAATGCTCAAGCTAATTTTCCTGAATTCATAGGAGGGGAAGCCGGGGGGAAAAATACTGTCACTGAAAAACAGAAAGTTAATGATGGTAGTGGCAAAGGATCAAGTTCTCTTACTCAGCGTCGGGGTGCGACTTCTGATATCATTTCAAGCACAGATCAGGGGTGTACACATCTCTGGTTGCAGAGCACGGTGCCCTTGGGGTAAATATTGTGTATCATCAGTCTTATTATACTTTTATTTGAAGAAGAAAGATTGCCTTATGTAACTATGTTTTCCCTTTTTGCTGTGTAGAGTTGTACCTGCACACTCGAGTACCAGCGTCAAACTTGAGTTACTTCCTTTGACAGATGGAATAATTACTCTGGACACGCTGCAAGTAGCTGCTCGAGATAAAGGTACAGTTCTACCTGAAGCTTTTTTGATTGACCATTTCTTTTGTTCTAATATCTCTTTTGAATGAAAGATAAAAATTGCTGATCACCATTGTTAATGCGAAGGCATTACCTATTCCATCAAGCTTAGTTTCATATATGAAGCTTGTAGGTTGTCACTCCTTTCATGTCTGTCTTTATATTTTAGTGATATATTATCTGTTGATTGATGCAAAGAAGATAAAGGCTTGGTGGTAAAATTAGAAGTGCTCGAGTATTATGTGATAAGAGGATGGATATTTCTCATAAATCTGTAATTAGGTTGGCGATGTTGAATTTGTTTTAGTGTTTGGCAGTCAAAAGTTGTTGATAGTCAAGCTGAGCATAGTGATAATTAGAATGTTAAGATTGATGGAAATAAAAATTGATAAAGATAAATTAAAGAATGATTCTATTAGAGGAATTATTGGAGTCATGATGGACATGTGCGATGAAGGGTAGAAAATAAATTCATTAGATGGGTAGATAAAATTAGTGTTATACAATCGGGAAGGAAAAACGATAAAACAGAGAAAATATAGAATAGAAGTTGTTTCAGTCTTCCAGATGGTTTATGAAGAATTACTTTAACAGACAGGTTAACATTCAGTGGTAATGATTGAAAATTGAGGATTCATAGAGCCGGCTCTAAATAATTGCATGCGTCTAATAATAATCATTTTTAAGGGCTAAGTGTATTCAGAAATTGATTAATCTTTCAACTTTCATCATCGTCTGCCTTATGATCATTATCCTTACCTCTAGTATTTTGGATCTGATTAATTGTTCCTAGTTAGGTATCAGATTATATGTCATCACATTAGATTCTCTTGGCCAACTTTTGAAGAGTTTAACTAAAATCAATGCTTTATAACATGTGTGGAACATAATTTTTTTAAACTTGTTTTTGAAACTAGAATGTCAAGGATCTATGCTTCGATGAAATAATCAAGATTTTTATCTCTAACTACAAATGAAACTAAAACTGTTATTACACTTGTCCCGATCGGTTCGTACAGTTTCTTATTCTTTCTAGGTACCTTATAGGAACTTAAAATAAAATCATAATGGTGATGAACTGTGATTTTTCTTAGAGATGCGCTGCAAGGACTGAGATGCTGCTGAGAATGTTTGCAGAATGGTAATTGATACCTGCAATGCTCTACGGCGCATAATGTCGGCCTTTAAAGAGAAGCATAAAATAAAGTTCAGTGTTGCTGAGATGAAAATGCTTAGTGGGATCAGTGGCTTGACACTTAGAAACAAAATGAGAAATGAATAAATTCGTGAGAGAGTTGTCTTAGATGGTTTGGTCACATTAAACGTTGACCATCTGATGGTCCATTTGGAGTTTGGTCACATTAAACGTTGACCATCTGATGGTCCTGTTAGGAGAGATGTTCAGATTCAACTTATGTTAAGAAAGACAGAGGTAGATCTAAAAAGATTTGAGCATATTGTATAAAATATGATCTTAATATATTAGAAATAAATGAAAATATGACACTCAATTAGGTGAATTGGAGAAAAAGGATTCATGTAACCCACCCCACTTAGTGAGATAAAGGCTTGTTGTTGTTGTTATTGATAAGCTGCAAGGACTGGGAAGAGAGGCCGGTATGTGGGGATAAGGCTGTATAGGTAGTAGGAGCTGGAGCAAGCTAATTGACATAGCAATGGTAGAGCAGCTTTGCAACTAGAACTTATAAATAGAAGTAGACAAAAAATACACCAAATCTATTGAGACCGCATGCCCATCAAAAACACATGGGAGAGCCAGGATTTTTGAGAACTTACAGAAACCTTAAAAAATTGTAGTATTTTCCTACAAATTTTTGCAACTGTCAAATAATAAAGTCTTACCTCTTTAAGTTTAAAATTTGTAGTTGCAGAAGTAAATTCACTACTAAATTGAGAACCAGATCTCAAAACATTTTTCTAATAATTGATACTTGCACTTCCTCAGCATTATATTCGGCCATCCATAATGTGCTACAAATTGTTTAAATAATTGGCAAAAATGGATATAATAGTTTTTTTATGAGCTTCAGGTTTTTTAAAATTGCTTTTTTATGCTTAAAGTTTTGAATTTTTTTGCTTCTTTCTACCATCAATAGGTGTAATTTACATACCAGAGCAGCCATTGAAGATCTATGCTACTTCCAGCATAGCGAAAGAAATTGCTTAGACTTCATGATAATTGGCGCCCGATTTCATTCGATAATTGTCATCTTTGACGGAGACATGTATATGTCAAGATTCTCCTCAATATAGTGTCAGTAGAAATCCGGAGATCAACATAGATTCTCCGTAATATCTGTATTGCCCATCACACTTGATTCGCTCAAGGACAGCTGAACCAAAAAAATCTTGGCCCCAGTTACAGTAAGTTCTATGTTTTTATTTCTCATTTGTTTTCTACTTATACAGAAATGCGAAGCAGCTGCTGTGTCTGCTCTTGTAATTCTCTATATTTCCTCTTCGCCAGCATCTTTGTTTATCCCAATTTTTATTTGGGATTTTGGATTAATTGTTATACTTTATTGGCAAAATATTTGATTGATAATTTATTTTCCATGTATGTGTGGAGCTTTAGGTCAAAGGTCCCATCTATAAACATATTAATGGAGTTTTTAATACAGTTTTGATGTTTTTGTGTCAATTTGCATTTATTTTCCATGTATGTGTGGAGCTTTAGGTCAAGGGTCCCATCTATAAAAACATATTAATGGAGTTTTTAATACAGTATTGATGTTTTTGTGTCAATTTGAAACATTTATAGTATTTGGTCATCAAATGGTGACCAAATGGACTGTGCACTGCTGTTGCTTGTCATGATCTTCAAGTCCGTAGATTCTCAGTTCTTTCTCTCTCTTTCTCTCTCTATATAGCAATTTGTTTCGATTTTTCTTATTAAATTTAGTGACTTCTTAGGAGATGAACAAATTGCAAATTTTATTTGGAATATTTACATGCGCAGCAGCCAAACCTTATGTATTTATCTATCTCGCATCTAAACTTCAATTTTTACGGATAAAGCACCTTTCTATACATGACATGTATATGTCACTGTTCCCATCGTGATAAAAGGGTAAGTAGGGTGCTGTGCCCGTAAAAATTGAAGTTTAGATGGGTGATAGGTAAAGACTAAAAGGTTTGAGTGCTGCGTATGTAAATTCCTCTTTTTATTTAAGATATCATACAATTTTATTCCTTCGTGACATCAATTTACATACAAATCAATGTAATCTAATGGCATAATAAAAATTTAAAGGAGCAATTATACGCAAATCGCCCAAAACTTGCTATTTACAAATCAACCACCATCTTTCATCCAATTTTCAAATTTTCACTCAAATATCAAAATTCACCATGAGATCAAACTCATATTTTTTATTTTTATCAAATTCTCAATAATTTGATCGTGATGCGTAAATATATCAGTTCGGAGGTTAAACCAAATGACTTGGATGGTTAATTTGTAAATATCAATGTTTTGAGTGGTGTATGTAATTATCCCTAAATTAAATAATTACTTTATAGACCTTACTATTTTAATGTTGATATATGCATGCTAAAAATATTGGAGTTTAACTGCATTATACTAAAAGCAATACTTTATTCATATACTTGAATTGTAAATGGATCTCTAAAATGATAAAAATAGGGCACAATATTATGAAAAATTATTGCATATGGACACCGACACCGCATGCAGAGATGCTTGCGGTGTCCGATCCTGATCGTAGATCATGGTGATCTACGATAAGGATGTATTTCAATTTTTTTTAAAATAAAATTTTTAAATAGGGCCCAATGAAACACATCATGACCGTACATCACCGTGATCTACGGTCAGGATCTCTGCATGCAGTGTCTGTATAAAATAATTTTTCCAATATTATATTTGCAACATCATTTTACTCACCTTTATTTTAAAACGTTCGTTTGTGCATGCCAGTTTTTCAATTTTTTTTTTTTTGGCTATTAAAGTAATAATTTTATTTTCAAGAATATATACAGTAAATTTAAAAACCATATAAACTTACAACAAGCAAAGATAGCAGAATGGCATAAAAGCAATAACTGATCATTTTTGAATCCTGCTTGTATATAGTAGCATGGGGTTGTACATGTGTCAAGTCAAGCTTGAACTACTCTCAATTTGAGGTTGAATAATTAATTGAGTTTGAACTCTAACTCGAATTTGATCAATTAATTCTTATTCAGCATGTCAAGTCAAACTTAGATTGTTAGCTCATTGAGCTCGGTCCATGAGAGCTATACGCGAGCCAAATAACATTCATAGGGCCTCAAATGCTGCATCCTAACATATGGCATGTAATTAGCGAACGTTCGATTTAATTTATATCTGATGTGTGAAAAATATGTGTATGATAATGCTTTGTTTAAATTATTTGGGTTAAAAAATAATTTAAACATTAATATATTACGTCCAACTTTACTCTTTGTTTATGCTTTGCTAATATGTTGTAGAAAAGCCTATGATCAACAATCAAGATGTGAATAATGTAATGTGCAGCTTTCATCAATCTTAATAGCTTCCGTTATGATTAAGCTCATAATACATTTTAATTAAAAATATTCAAAAATATTATTTGGAGGGCAATAATTTGTTTAATATTCTTATGAAAAGCAATTGTTAATGTATATGAGCATTTAGTTTATTCCATATTTGATCTATAAGAAAATATGTTAATTAAAATAATAATAAAAGAGGCGATTTACTCTCACAACTGCATCACTTCAAGTCAAACTTGTAAATTAAATGTACTAAAGACAATTAGCATCATTTTACAACTTCATAACAATCATAAAATATAAATTTGCATTCATAGTTTGCAACAATGTCATAAAATCATTCAGAGCATCCGAAACATCAATGTTTACAAATCAAACATCCAAATGATACGACTAAATCATTGAGAAGTTGATAAAAACGAAAAAAAAAGGGTTAAAATTTCATCATTAATTTTAATATTTTAACCACAATTTGAAAAATGGATGAAAGAAGGTACTTAATTTGTAAATAACAATGTTTTTCGTCCCCCAAAATAAGAATAATATGTAAATTTTTAGTATTTTGATTTGAGTATAATGTATTGCTTCGTAAATGTAATCATCATTTAACCCATTAAGTTTTTAATTTAAATATCACATTCACATCATTAGTAGAATTACAATTATCATCATCAAAAACATATTTCCTATGAAGTAAATCATGCAAATAAATAGTAGATAATTCAATATGATGCCATGCATACAAAAATGATGCTAAAACTAATATACTTCATAATGGCTATTGATGAAATAACTACAGCTAATTTTTAAAAGAGGATGTGATGCATAAAACTTAATGTTAATATTTACTAAATTCCAAAAAAATTTCTTCAAATAATAGACAATTCAAACAAATAAAATAAGGCTATATGAACAAACAATCTCCATATATATATATATATATATATATAATCATATGCCTGTTGCAAGTCTTAGCTGTTACAGCGATCTAAGAAAAATCTTATAAAAGACATGACATAAGAAAATAGATTTATAATCAAGTAAGAGCAATAGCTAGATTCATAATTGAAGAAGCATATAGGTGCAAAACTATAATAAAATAAAGGGGCAATTACATACCTTGCACTAGAAACATTGCTATTTACAAAATCTACCACTATCTTCGTCCATTTTTCAAATTCACCTGTATATCAAATTTATGATAAATCTCCACCGGTATTTTTTTTTTAAATTTTTATCAAATTATCAATGATTTGATTGTAGCACCCATAAATGCATCGATTCGGTAGTCCAAAAAAACATCACCTGATTGTTAGTTTTGTAAATAACAATGTTTTGAGTTTTGTGTATGTAATTGTCCCTGAAATGAAGCACAAGTTTGATAAATTGAATCCCTACCAGGCTATCAAAAAAGCTTATTGTTTGTGAACAACTAGTTCAATAGCTTGTGTTTGAATCTTTTGTTAAGTAAACGAGCCAAACACGAACAACCCTTTATTCGATCGTGTTCGGCTTGTTTAGTACCTTGTGTTCAAATGCGTTTTATATTTATATCTATGTTTAAATCATAACAACTTGCATGGTCATGTGGTTCTGCGCCTTCTATTGTAAATAATTAGTGTACAAATCCAAAACCATATATCTATTTTCTAATTAATTTAAACGAGCTAATTTCGAGCTGAACACGAAAAAGAATATGTAAATCGAGCCGAATACAAGCACACTGTTCACGAGCAATTTCGAACATGAGCTAATTTCGAACGAACCAAACAAGAGCCAAACCTGAGCTCGCTTAAGCTCGGCTCGTTTATAACCATATTCCTTATAATATATCCAGCAGTCTTAAGTAACCTAGAAGTAATACTTTTAGATCCAACGGTTTTGTCCTCTCCACTAATGAACACATCTTTAATATCCTCATTTATGAAGAGAACCATAAGAAATTGTTGATCCTAAGCAGGAAAAACATAGTTGAGAAGACGATTATTGTTACAAAAAGACTATTGAGAAAATAGAAGAGGTTTTGATTGCAAAGACATGAAATGTTCAATAAATTCATCACAAATTTCACGAAGAGATGATAAGAATCGCTTTGATAAAATAGTGATTTCATTTACCTGTAATTCTTTGGTAGAGGAAGCCAATGCCATCCTTTCCCTTGTTAAGCTAAAGCCACTTTAGCATGTTGGAAAATCCAATTACTCTCAGAATTACAGACATGAATGAACTACTCCTAAATATTTGTAGCAACAGACAAAATGAAGAGTTCTAGAGAATTGTTTCCAAAGATAGAAATTGCCTTATCCTGCTCTTATGTTAAGCTTTTTTTCATAATATAAAAAAACCCTTCAGAACTAATCATAGTATATAGAAAGCAAGTACAAAAAGTCCAATAGTTTTTCAATATAAATCTATCTAATAAGAGAAATTTTCTTGGAGATCTTCTATCCTCTAGGATGCAAGATTTGGGAAGGACGAGAGGTATTTGTGGAAAGGTGAAAAGCTTGTTGGGATGATGGACCAGGATTGAAGAAATCGATCAATATTAACATCAATAGTCAAACCATAAGAGAAGCAATAGGGCGTCTTTATTTTTTGTAGCCACTTTCTCTTCTACCAAAATATTTGCTTCTACTACGGCCACAATTAGGTTTGAATTCCCTTAACCCTTAACATCATGAGCAAAAGTAAAGGTAGGAAAGAACTCACTTGGACACACTAACAAATTTAAGATGGCTTTTATAGGCAATAAGGATATCCACAATCAAAAGAATATCAGTGTTGGCAGCTACTTTTAAAAACTCATCCGCATTCTGAGAGCGCAAGTAAGAAAATCAAAATTTCAACCAATAAAAGATTATCCGAAAACTCGTCATTCACAGAATTATAATCACATATCAATATCTTACAATAATAGAATTGTTGTTAATGAATCATGGACAACCATTCTAGATAGTCACATAAGCTTCTACAAATGAAAATTTTAAAAATAAAGAAACTATTGAAGAGAGTTAAGGGCTTATGTGGGATCATATTTGTTTCTACTTTTATTTTTGTTTTTGGCTTTCGATTTTAAAAACATATTTGTTTGAAGTAATTTTTACAACCTTTTATTTTTTTATTTTAAAATACTCAAAACAAATTCTAAATATTTTGAGTGTCTTTAAAAGTAACTAAATATATTTTCAACATGCCAACTATGCTTTATTTTGAAATAAAAACATAAACAAAATAAAATAAAAATATCAAAAAGCAAAAGTGAACCCAAACGGCTCTTAAGAGATTCATATTATATTTGAGAATGTATATTTCCTGATGGCACCTAACAAAAAAAAAATAATTGAATAACATTTTATCTATCACATAGAACCATATATTATGGTGGTTGTACATGCTATTAAGAGAGTGTTATCCTTGATTAATAAGATTTTTATTTTGATTCTTTTTATATTCAAAATAATGAAAATATTTTAAAATTATAATGTTTTATATGATTGTTTATATTTGCATACAAGTTAAACAAAAATGAACCGAAAATAAATAAAGAAATGTGACAATGAGAAAATGGGAATTCCATACATTTTTGTACAACACAGTATGTCTGAACAATGATACAAGACTGAACAATGATACAAGAACTATATATATATACACACATACATACATATATACATAAAACATATATATTATATAATTTATATGAGACTTCAAATAGGTTTTATATTCATAAGCACTAGTGATCAACTTGATAAGTAGAATAAAAAAAGGCTAATTTATTTAACATTTAAAACCTTAGTATGTGATAAATACAAGAAATGTACATGATATACTCGACACAAATGACGGAAAAAAAAAGAACAACGTTATCAGAAGATGAGAAAGGAAGCAAAAGGAAAAGAGCGATCTTACTAGAAACATGTATGCACCTAGAGAGCTGAAACCACTTGTTGCCTCATCGGTGTGAGTGACCTTGCCAGTGGTAGAGGCACATATGCTCGGACTCTCGTCCCATTCTCCATATATTCCTAAACATTAAAAGAAAAAAAAAAGGAAGATTTATATGCATAACACTCCATTATTATGTATTTACATATCTAATACCTAAATTTCTTTTTTTATATATATACCGCCTTACCTATGCATGTAAAGGGCAATTTCACTTTTCAAAAGTTAAAATGATGGTACTTTTGATGCGATAAGCATTTAGGTGATAAAAATTTTGAAAGAAAATTTAGGTGTTAGGTACGAAAATCAATAGGAACTGGGTGGAAAAAAAATAATAATAACAAAAGGCTTGAGATAGAAATATAAATGGTTTCTGATAATGAAATTTACATGGCATCCATCTCATAGGTTAATTAAAAAATAGGGGCGGAACTAGCTTTGACTTACAGGATGGGCAAAATCACCGAACTTTTTTTTTTTCTTTCTTATGCATTGGGCAAAAAAATACTTTTGGCCGTGAGGGGAGTGGGGGGGGAGGGTGTTTGGCAAAATTACTAATCAACTAAAGTACATTAAAAAAATATTAAATTTTCCTACTTATATAGAGAAATCTCAAATTGGCCACCCTGGATATAACCTGGTTCCACCCCTATTCAAAAATAGCTCATAGCATATAAATGCGATACACAAGATTTTTTATTTTAAAATTCAACGCGTAAAGTTTTATGAACTAAAGAGCTCAACTTATACATCATATATAAATACATTATGCGCATGCAATAGGTGATTTAATCAACCAAACTTTCACATCAGTTATTAATTTTTAACAAATACAATGACATGTTAAATAACATAAATTTCTAGCTAACCAAATAAAGAGATCAAAGAAAAATTATAGATTGATGAAAGAATATTTAAAAATTAAGGATAACAGACTAACTAGAGATGAAGAGATGGAGGTAGTGCGAAGTGAGAGCTTGAATATGAGGCAGCAAGAAGAAATCGTGAGAAGATGCTATACGTGAGAAGTTGCTAGCACCAATAATAAGAACCGATGATAACATATAGAAAACTAAAATGGAGAATAAATGAGCAAATTATTAAATGACAACGAGAAACAGTAAGAAAAAGCAAACACTTATGCCTAGTTATCACATAACTGCTAAACTAAACCATGAAATTTGAACAAAGAATTCACTATGATTCCGAGATGAGCATGCAATGCCACAATGCAATGACTTGAAGCCGCATGATGCACATTTTTTTGCTACGAGCTTGTGCTTCACAAGCAAGTGAGACACAGGGCTAGCACATAGCCCACTTCAAAATTAAAATGCATTTTGAAGCCCGCTTCTAATAATACTGAGCAGCACTTCATCAAGATATCAATGCACATCCATAAAGTAATAGTGAGCAATTTATCTTTAATTTTTTTAAGTAACTTTTTTGTTAAAAACACATGTATTACCTATCCTTTCTTTAACAGTAGAGTAGCCTAGAAACTTGAATATTTAATTATTTACCTCACGACCACTTACAGGTCTCCATTGATTATAATAAATGACTGTCAGCTCAGCATTTCCCCAAAATTACATTTTTGGCTATGGTCAGCTCTTAATAAACTAACGCTAGCAACAGTGGGTCACATAATAACGGAACTGTAACAATAATATAAGGCGAGCACAATTACTTGAAAAATGGAGGAACTAATCTGAACCAACCAAAATGGTTTGAATTGGTTCTTACTGTGATTTGTGAATCAGATTCAGTTCCTGGAAAATTCATAACACAATTTGGTTTGGTTCTCAATCCTAGATTTTGGGTTGCTTGGAACTGACACGACTCATATTTATTAAATTAAAAGAAATTATACAAGCATGCCACACAATTCTTATGTATTTACATATCTAACACCCAGAGTTTAATATTTACACTTATAACACTCAGGTGTTATAAACCTATGCATGAAAACTTTTAAAAAGAGAGTGTTGGTGATATTTTTGATGTGATGTTAAATATTTAAGTGATATGCATGTATATATGAATGTTTAGGTGTTACATATGTAACATAAGAACTATGTGGCATGTATGTAAATGCCCCTAAATTAAGCCACAATCTACAACAATCTCCGTTCTCTGATTGAACACAGCCCCACAACCTTTGGCGCCTACATTTATTTTCTCTGTGACCCAAATCCCATCGTTCTTGTACCATGTCATGTTTGTTGATGAAGCTACGCATAGGTATTGCTGCCACTGCCGCCACCGCCCCGGACCCTCCAGTCACCCGTTGACCACCATACTTGAAGCCCTTTAGCCTCTCTTATCCACTGATGCCACCACTCCCTGCTCACGAATTCTCTGCTTTTGTGACTGGTGAGATCTGTAAAACTTTAAATTCCGAATAAACTTAAACAACAGCAAATCAGAAGATTAAATAACCGGTGGGAGTTGTCAGAGTCCGTCAGGCAATGGATCTAATTGGAGAGCATGGAATCAATGATATTTGGATCATTTCCTGCTCTCATCTGAATGCATTAACAGCGACCTAATTTATTGCCTTAAATTAAACAAATGCTTAAACAATAAGGGCCACATATCATTCCATAATGTCAGAGTAAAAGCTTTCCAATAATCTCAACTTAATTCCAAGTTTCTGCGTCCTTACTAAGGCACCAGTAATAATTCATTAACTGCAATTTTGTTAATGACTCGTAGTCATTTAAAATGCTTTCTTAAAAAGTTGGTGTAAAACCATAAGAAAGCATTCTTGGAACTTTTTGAGGATGTTTAATAATTGTGCCAGGTTGCTTCCGTAAAATATTGAAAAAACAATTGAAAGTCTCTCACTAACATTGATCTGGGGTAACTAGATGGTGTGGAAGGATAAAGGGATGAGTTAGGAAACTGATAGGATGGGCAACAAAGAAGAAAGAGGTGATGGCGATTTAAATCCTCTAAATGACACCAATCTAGGGTTACCAGATGGTGTGGAAGGATCAAGAGATGAGTTAGGATACTAGTAGGATAGGCAACGGAGCAGACACGGGCGATGGCTAGGTTCTAACACGTGCTAGTTTGAAATAACAGCCCCCAGGAGAAGATAATAATGATATGCATCTCATGTAAATCATGTAAATAGTATGGAACTCAAGTGATGCGACCACATAAATATTCATAGATCTAAAATAATATGAGGAAGTTGCTTATATTGAAGAAATCTAGATCTTGTGTTTTTTGCATCCTGGTCCCATAGAAAAAAATTTCCCCGCTCAAACGTAAATAGAGATCTCTTGCTAAAGTTAGGAGCTGTTTGAGATCATTTTTGTATTTTATTCTAGGCATTTACATACATACCACCCAATTGCTATCTAATTACATATCTGGCACTTAAAGTTTCCTTTTTACATTTATGCCAATTTGCCACCCAAATCTTTCATAGTACAGAAAAAATACTACCATTTTAAGTTTTCAAAGTGAAATCTATGTATGTAAAAATTGAAGTTGGGGTTAGACAAGTAAATACATAGAAATTGAGTGGTATGCAAATCCTTCTAAAATAAAACATGATTTTTTTCTAAAAACACCCAAAACATCTATAAATTATTTTCAGTACTTTAGGGCCCATTTGGCATAATTTCAATTTTTTATTTTTGTTTTTAATCTGCTTTTGAATGCATGTTTAGATGATATAATTTTTATATATGTTTTTATTTATGTTTTTAAAAATAAATCACATTATTTTTTTAGATGTTTTAAATAACAACGAAGTTATTCGTTAGAAGGTTCAACAAATGAGATGCAAAATAGATCATGCACGAACATATCTGGAACTACCTTAAATCCTGTAAGCCTTAAAATATGATGCAAAATCTTGCACGATAAATTTACCACAATAGGTTGATGAATATGGTTAGCCTATTCCTACACATTCAAAAAAAAAAAAAAAAACTGCAGAACAAAAGTATGAAACCCGTTGAGTAGAATGAAGCTAGACTCATAAAAATCAAGGAGGCTTTTGGTGTAACAATGGAATTTCATTAGAAACTTCAAAGTTGAACGTGCTAGAATGGAAGCACTCCTAGGATGGTGACCTCCTGGCATGTTAAACCAACGAGGCAAAACCGTGATGCCATTTTACCAAAGCGGACAATACCTTGATGGGTGAAAGTTCGTGCTATCAAAAATAGTATCAAAACTTCACACCAACCAAAGAATGAGCACTAAGTGCGATATAAAACAAAGTTGCACTATCATGGGAGCCACCTCTTGAACCCTGGATAGGACAAAGTGCTACATGGTGGGAGACGCTTCTTGAATCTGTAGGGGTTACCTTTAGAATCCTGTCTGTCTGGTGGATGATTCTGAGTATAAAATACTAACAAGGACGTCAGGTACTTAAGTGGATGAGATTATGAAAGCCCGTAAATATTATGAAACTGAACTCTTTTAAACATCGAGACACTTTTTGGTGTAACGGTGAAATTTTGTTTGAAGCTTCAAAGTTAAGCATGCTCACATGGGAGCACTCATAGGATAGGTGACCTCCAAGGAAGTTAAATTAATAGGGCAAAACCATAAGTCTATTTTGCCAAAACAGACAATACTTCGATGGGTGAAAGTTCGAGCTATCACAAATGTTATCAGAGCATTACACCAGCCAGAGGATGGGAACTAAATGTCGTACTAAATAAAGTGTTATGCCATTAGAGCCACATCTTGAACCCTGGATGGCACACAGTGCTACATGGTGGGAGCCACCTCTTGAATCTGTAAGGGCCACCTCTAGAGTTCTATCTGCCTGGTGTATGATTCTAGATATATAAAGCACCAAAGAGGATGTCAGGTATTTAAATGGAGGAGATTATGAAACCCCTTAAGAAGAATGAAACTGAAATCTTAAACATCGAGGTGTCTTTTGGTGTAACAACAAAATTTTGTTAGAAACTTCAAAGTTAAACGTGCTTGCATTGGAGCACTCTTAGGAAGGGTGAAGTTACACCAACAGTGCAAAACCACGAGACCATTTTTTCAAATCAGCATAACCTTGACGGGTGAAAATTCGAGTTACCACAAAATG